GCCCTGGGCCAGGGATCGAACTCAGGCCGTGGTGGTAATAGCGCTGAAACTTAACCCCTAGGCCACTGGGGAAGCCACAACCCCACAGGCATCAACAGGAGATAGAAGCTGATGAGACAGAAGCTGATGAGACTAAGGATCACCAGGGCATAAAGACCAGGACCAGATGCACCTAATCAGCTCAATTCACTAAGGAAAGCATTTCACTAACCCTTTACTTCTAACTTTCAGATTATCTCAGAATGTAAATCACATAAAACGAGGCATAACATTTTTACTTAATCAATGTAGGCTTAGCTTCAGCTTGGAAAATGCAATTTCTAGTCCCCACAAGTTACTTATAAATTCCTGAGTCTTAGATGCCACTTTAAAATACCCTGTCTTTTCTGTAATGAGGTTTCTTTGCATGTATACAGAATAAATAAGGGGCCCTCCCCGGCGGTGCAAGGGGTTAGGACACAGCACTAGAAAGCTGCAGCATGAGTTCCATCCCTGAGTTCCATCTGCTCCCCTCAGCAGTGTACTTCACCAGTCGGCCTGTTCTGCTCCCCACTCTATCTCTGATGAATCTTCTCACCACCCCTGCAACCTCTGGCCTGTACCCCAGCTCTAAATTAAACTAAATATTTCAAGTTCTTCACAAATTGGTAATCTCGGAGAAAGTCTTACCTGCTCCAGCTGCGTGGCAAATGCTATGGTCACTGACATAATGAACGCGTCAGTACAATACTCTGCTGGTCCAATCTGATGGTAACCTTCCTCCTCATTCAGCACAGCCACTATGTCCTTGGGGTCAAGTCCAGACAGGCTGGCAGGTACTTTATGGAGAAAAACATAATTAAACTACATGACAAACTAGCCTGCCAAAAATCATTCTACAGTTTGGAAAGCTAGCTATGGGTTTGTTAATACGCTGAGTTGTCGTGGAGAGTTAGTGTCTCAACAAGGTATCCCTTTATTTTGTTTTAATACATTCTCCAAAGAAACTTATGTGACCCCCAATTCAATTTCTGCACATAAAAGTCTTACTTTTTAAAAAAAATTTTACATTTTACAAATTCAGACTAAGTCAAATAGAAAAAGCATTGTAGGGTTCTTGAAGGAAGTACATTTTAACTGGGAACTGAAAAAAAAATAACATCTGCTAAAAAGAGAAAGGTGAGAAAGCAGAGAATGAAGGAGTGAAACATCATGTTCCAGGAGGAAGGAACACTATGTACAATGACTCCGAAGCAGAGAAAGCAGGTGGTTAGAAAGTGAGACGGGCCCGGTGCGCGAGTCACTGCAGTGAGGACTGACTGAGAGAGCTGGAAGAGGAGCAGAGGCCACATCGTAAAAGCCCTTCCAGTGCCACTCTGAGACGCGGGAATATTGTCAGAGAAAATTAGAAAACAATTTTGAGGCGAGAACCAAAATAACCAGTAGACCTTAATATAAGAGACAGAAGAGGGATGGCTTTTTCAAACTGGTTGAAACAAACCAACACAAAACACTTAACTGCCACTACAATAGGCCAATCTGTACTGAGGAGAAAGTAGGGAAGTGAGCATTCTTCACGTGGGGAGTTATCCGCGCTTCCACTATGGAGGGCAGTACATCAGGACTCTCCAAATCTTACATGCAGATACGCTACAAACAAGCTATTTTCTTCTAGCAGTTAATCTGAAGAAATCCACTGACTGCAACACTGGCTGAAAGAGCATGGCCATCAAGAGCAGGCACTAACGTCACACAGTCCAGCCCCTGTTCTGCCATTTACAGTTTAAGGAAAATCTCTAAAATCTGCTTTAATTTCCATTTTCGTCTACAATGTTTGTACATGTTGAGAAGATCAAATTAAAGAACAAAAGTAAAGCACTCTGCACCGTCTCTGACCATTTATAAAAAAGGCAGCTATTAAGTAAGGTTTGCAGAACTTAGGAGTCAACTGAGTAACTATGGCAGGCTTTTCATCGTAAGGGGAGAGTCATAGGCATGGAGGAAGGAGAACTGTGACAAATCCTGTGCAGGAGATTGGCTGAGGATGATAATGTGTGTGTGTTCCTCAGTGTCTATGTACAAACAGTATACATACAGATGTATACTCGTGTGTGTATGTGTATATATGGGCCAGCATGTGTCAACACATGCACAAATTCCCTAACTTTTTGCCACTGAAAGGATCTGGGAACAGGGAAACCCTAGCAGTTGGCATTCCTAGCACCTGGATCCTGACTTCTAAGCATTCTTTACTAAAAGAACATGAAGTTCCTAAACGGTAAATCCAAGGCTCGGAACAGAGAAAGCAGAACATAAAGAAAAGAAGAAGAAGAAGAAAAAAAAAAAAAAAAACAAGAAAAAGACTGAAGAGTTATGGAGATAGTCAAAAGGAAAAAGAAGCACTTTATAGGGACTCTCACTGCTCATATCGGGAACAAACACTGACTGAATTAAAGATCTTAACCCATTACAAGAGAAAACCTAAAACCACACTTATAAAAAATAAATAAATGAATCAAGTGAGGCCTAAATGAGGAATGAATATTTCCACTGTAATCTGTCTGTACAAGCATTTACTACTTGCAAATGAAAAAAGAGAGAGAGCTTACAGTTGAGAACAACCTCACCCGACCTTAATTAAGTACTCAAATTAGTGAACATCATCAGTCAATGAACATATCGAAACTGCACACCACTGACAAGAAGCCATGAGAGGAGAATCTCTTCTAGGAAATTCCCGCCAAAGATACATACCCTAACTCTAGCATCAGACAAACCCCACACAGCAAAGGCACAGGCTCACCAGTAAACCCAAACTGAATCATAGGACTAAGGCGTTTCTTCTCCCCTACACTTTTCCACTCCATTACTAAAGGCTTATTTTCCTTTTGCCAGGTATATCACATCCCCCTTTCCAAAATAAATAAATAAATTCAGGGTATACTAAATGACAAAATGGCAAAAACAAAATAAAAACACAACATCAACAAGAAAGCAATACTCTTAAGTTTCCATCTTAGGAAAACATAAAGTGGGGGAGAAATTAAAGTACACAGAAATAAAAACTAGAGAGCCCTCCCTGGTGGTGCAGTGGGTTAAAGCACAGCACTATGAAGCTGGCCTCAAGCCACTTCAGCGAGTTTGATCCCCTGCCCCAGAGGTGACCCACAAAGCAAGGCAGACCTCTCCTGACCCGCCCGCTGCTCCCCTCAGCAGTGTACTTCGTCCATCTGCTTGCCACTGTCTCTGGTGAAGCCTCTTACCGCCCCTGCATCTCTGGCCTGCACGCCAGTTCTGTATGCATAAGCAAAAATCTTAAAGATAAAAACTAGAACTGAGGCAGTGTGGGAAGGTCACATCCCAAGATGGGACAGAGGACATTCCTTTTCTCCCAGAAGGAACAAGGACACAGAAAGAGACACAATTCAATTCAAGAATCACACAGTACGCGTAAGAAAAACACCTCAGAGACGAATGCAGAGGAGCAGCGGTTCCAGGACCAGGACACAAGGAGCAAGTAGCTGAGCCAGCACACAGACGTAAGCGCCACTGGAGAGGAGAAGCCAGCAGCAGACAAGGCAGCGTGCTACACAGCACACAGGCTCGGACACCGGCTGGGAGGAGACACAGAAAGGGCTCCAGAACTACTTTCTCCCCCCTACCAGTCCAGGACATTATGCTGAACGAAGTAAGTCAAAAAGTGAAAGACCAATAGCCAATGGTTGGTTTCACTTCTCTGAGGATTTAAATACCCAAGGACTATTCATATTCAAAGCTATTGGAAATAAATCTTGAACCCAACAGAAAGAGAACATAATGGCTACCACAGGGAATGGGGCTAGGGGGAGGAGGGAAGACTGCGAAAGGAAAGAAGAGGGGCTATGGGTATACGTGTTTGGTGGAGAAAATAAAAAACAGAAAAGGAAAAAGTAATCAGCTACTGTTCTTTACTTAGTATAGACTGTCACATTATACAGTATAAACGCTGGTATTTATTTCTATGTAAAGTAATGCTAAGTGAATATTAATACTGTATGACTGATTTATATTTTCACATGGATAGTGGAAAGTCTACAATTTTACCTACTCAAGGCTTAAGAATGGGTTGCAGACTACAGATGTCCATGTTTATTGCAACACTATTTCTAACAGCCTAGAACCATAAACAACCTAAGTGCCTGTCAACAGACAGATGGATAGAGATATTTATATACAGATGAAATCTAACATTTGTAAAACATGGATGAATCGGAAGTGTATTACACTTAATTAGTAAGACAACTCAGAGAAAGATTTCACTCGTACGTGGTGTGTAGAGAACACAAATGGATAAGCTAAATAAAGCAAAAATACAGTTTCATACTGTATGAAGTTAGTGGCTACCAGAAGAAAAAGAACTGGATAAGTAAGAGAGGGCAGCTGCATGGTGAAAAACAGAATGGGACTTTCACGTATTGAGCTTCATGTAATGAGCATAATGTATCATGTACAGAGTGTAATTTTTAATGATGCTCACCTGAAATTTAAATAATGCAATATTACTTCAATGGAAAAAAAAAACACACACACACAGAAATCAATTAAAATAAAAAATCACCATAGGAAACCTAAAAAACAAAAACTGCTTCTCTGAAGAGATGAGGAAAATCGGTCAATTTAGCCAGTGTACTAAGAGAAAGAAGTGTGAAGACACCTGTTATGAGTATCAGAAATGAAGGGTGACATCGCTGTAGATGCCCACAGACATTAAACAGAACAATAAGGAAATTCTAAATAATTTTGGTACAAAAATTCAATAAAGCTAGAAGAAAAGATCAATCAATTCCTCTAAAGAAACATTCAGCCAACACAAGGAATAGATAATCGGAATAGCCTTGTAGCATTTAATTGTATCAGTAACTTTTCAAAACAGAATGCAGACTGGGTTTACCAGTGGATTCTATCAAGCATGCAGGGAAGATACTATACCAATCTCTACAATCTTTCACAGAAGATAGAGGCAGAGGGAACATCTCCCAACATATTCGCTGACACAAGCATTTAACAGCAAAACTAAAAATGACATTACAAGAGAACGAAAGACCAGATCGTTGACAAAAAGGCAAAGGTCATACGGGCCTCCCTGGTGGTGCCGTGGTTCCAGCCTCAGCGATCAAGCTCTCCGCAGCCACCGCAGCGTGAGTTGGCTCCCCGCCACGGAGTGACCCACAAGACACAGCAGACCTCTCCTGACCCGCCCACTGCTCCCCTCAGCGGTCTCAGTAGCGCCACCTATTCTGCTCTCTACTGTGTCACTGGTGAATCTTCTCTTCCCGTGCACCTCTTCCTCATATGCCATTTCTTATATGTACACATAAAAATAATTTTTTTTTTTATTCTATGGGGTGGAGGGGAAAGGGGAATAAAATCAAAATAGGGGTGGGAAGAGCACACGGGACTATAGTGATGGCACTTGGGTGAGCTGGTGGTGGGAAGTCCATGGAGATGAAACAACCGAGATGAAAAAACATACAGTGTACAAAAATGAAGAATGATGTAAAAATTGCATTAAACATTAAAAAAAAATCAGCAAAGGTAAAACAATGGCGCAGACCGTCTTTTCAACAAATGGTGCTAATACACATCAACACGTACAAAACAGACTCTTACACATAGGCCATACACCCTTCACAAAAATCAATTCAAGATGCATTGACCTGGGCCCTCCCTGGTGGTGCAACGGGTTTAAGTGCAGTACTACGATGAAACTACCCACAGCCACTGCAGCACGAGTTTATTTCCCGGCCAGGAGCTGACCCACATGGCCGGCAGACCTCTCCTGACCCGCCTGCTACTCCCCTCAGCAGTGTGTTTTTTGGTCAGTCTGCCTGTTCTGCTCCCCGCTCCGTCTCTGGTGAAGCCTTTCACCTCCCCACACCTCTGGCCTGTACCCTAGTTCTTGTATGCATAAATAAAACTTCTAAAAAAAAAAGTTTTGACTCAAAAGGGATTACAGACCTAAGTGTAAAATATATATAATTTTAAGAAGTTAACAAAAAAGACTATCTAGAAAAGCACTAGATGACCTTAGGTACGATGGTGACTTCTTGGACACAGTATTAAAGACATGATCCATGAAAGAACTGATAAGCTGGTCTGCATTAAAATTTATAAACTTGCTCATGAAGTTACTCAACAGGATGAGAAAACATCTGCAAAAGACAAACCTAAAAAACTATTATCCAGTGTATTCAAAAACTCCTAAAACTTATTAAAAAGAAAATAAGCAGGCCCTCCCTGGTGGCGCAGCGGGTTAAAGCGCAGCACTGAGAAGCTAAAGCCCCTTCCGCATGAGTTCGATCCCCGCCTGCCCCGGAGGTGACCACATGGCGCGGCAGACCTCTCCTGACCCGCCCAATGCTCCCCTCAGCAGTGTACTTCATTGATCTGCCTGTTCTGCTTCCCGCTCTGTCTATGGTGAAGCCTCTCACCGCCCCTGAGCCTCTGGCCTGTACCCCAGTTCTGTATGTACAAATAAATAAGTCTTTAAAAAAAAGAAAATAAGCAACTGATTACAAATGGTCAAAAGACCTGGTCAGATAGCTCACCAACAAAGACACACAGGTGGCAAGTAAGACTATGAAAAGATGCTAACACCATGTATCAGTGGGGAATACACACAGCAGACAGTAGGGCACAGCTATTACATTAGTCACAAACACGAAGCGGAGCAACAGGAACTCTCACTCATTACCGTGGAATTGCAGAATGGGACACAGAGGTGAAGGAAAGTTTGCCGTTTTGCTACACAACTAAACAATGTTACCATACGATCTAGATATCACACTCCTCGATAATTATTCAGAAGAACTGAAAACTTATGTCCACACAAAAGTTTGGCATGTTTATACCAGCTTTATTCATAATTGCCAAAACTTAGAAACAACCAACATGTCCTTCACTCAGTAAGTGGAAAATTACATGTAAATTGGGGGAATTGACTATTACTCAATGCTAAAAGGAAATGAGGCTAGCAAGGCATGAAAAGACACGGAGAGACATGAAAAGCTCACTACTCAGGGAAAGGAGCTGATCTATGAAAGCTCCTATACACACTACGACTCCAACTCCAGACCTTCCCGAAAGGCGAAACTAGAGAAATAACAAAAGATCGCTGTTGCCACAGGCTAGGGAGAAAAAGGGGTGAAAAAAATCACCCTGCTGTGCTGGATGTGAAACTAAAACTACTCTGTAGGGTACTAAAATATACACTGTTAATGTAAAATACACCCGCCCAGAGTGACCCCTAATGTAAACTATGGTCTTTGGGTGATGATAAAATGTCAATACAGCGGCCCTCCCTGGTGGCGCAGCAGGTTAAAGCACAGCACTGAGAGGCTAAAGCGCTTCCGCATGAGTTCGATCCCCACCTGCCCCGGAGGAGATCCACATGGCAAGCCAGACCTCTCCTGACCCGCCCGCTGCTCCCCTCAGCAGTGTACTTCAACAATCTGCCTGTTCTGCTCCCCACTCTGTCTCTGGTGGAGCCTCTCACTGCCCATGAGCCTCTGGCCTGTAGCCCAGCTCTGTATGCACAAATAAATAAATCTTTAAAAAAAAAAATGTTAATACAGCTTCATAACTTATAACAAACATACTACTAAGGTGGGGGATATGACAGTCGGTGAAAAAGGGGGGCTATAGGTTTTGTGAAAACTATACTTTCCACTCATTTTGCTGTCAACCTAAAATCGCCTTAAAAATAAAGTTTATTAATTAAATTAACAGAAAAGAACAATCATTTTTGGCTCTCCAGAACTCTTCCTAAGAAGAACATTTTCCTAAATAGCTTTCTTTTAAAAAAATACAAAATTCTACTTTGTTCTGATATTCACCAAATTAAAAAAAAAAAAATCTGTTCCCTAGTTCTAAGTTTTGTGAACAGCAGTCAAGAACAACTGTTCAAAGCGTAACAGTGTCACGGCATTTGTCCCATGCACTAGGATATAATCAGGTGACACTCCTGTGTATATCTGCCCTATAATACTGCCCCCTTCCTAGGCCAAAACAGGAACTTTTCCAAGAACACCCTTAGAGATGATGCACAAACCTTTTCCATCACGGGGGGGAGCTCCCTTTGCTTTAAAACTATCCACTGGTGCCTTTGTATCTGTTTCCAAAGCGATACTTATCTGTATTTCAGACTTGAACTTGGTGTATTTATTACTCAGCAGCTGGTACCATTTTGGTGCCTACAGAGTAATGGCAAAACAAAAGAACAAAACACCTTAATTATTTGGAAATAAACAGTAGTGGAAAATGTTCTATAAGGATATAAATATATTTCTTGTAATTTTTCATTGTTTTTTTCTCTTTTAACAGTCTTTTTCTTCATTTTCCTCAAAGGATATTAATTCTCCTTAGGAAGTCAAGTGAATTTTCCCTTAAAAACACTGAAAAGAAACAGATTGTCTTCTTTACTGCCATTTTTTTTAACACATAAATGGAAGCAAGCAATTTATTTCCTTTTACTTTTCCTCGTATATCTCAGTCTCACTTCTCTTACACAACAAAAAAGAGCACCAATTCTTTTTCCCTAATTCCTAATTTTTTACTTTTTCTTTTAAGCATTTTTGCCTGCCACTTCTCTGCTTTGTTATATTTATATCAAAGGAAAAGAAAACTTTAGTGTGAATTAAAACACTAAGAAAATACTAAAGGCCAAATGATAGAATCAGTCAGTACCTACTTGACTGATAGGGACCTACAGAATTCTTCTGCCAGAATAAAATATCCTAAATTACCTCACTGATCCCCCTGAGCAACCTCAGAAGTTGTCCGCAAGACAGATGCCCGCAAGAGCTCATGGTCTTTGATCTCTTGTATCATTTGTATAGAACCACTGGTCAGCAGGGTTCTATACCATTTCAATACTTAGTAAAACAATACAGGTTAAGAATGCTGTTCTTACTCTGATTACTGTTAACTTAAAGCAAACTAGTATGTATGTTTATAGTGTTCAAAACCAAAAACTTCTGTTTTATATTCAAGTTATGTCTATGATAGGTAAAATAGGTTAGACAACAGATTTCAGAAAACACACAACCAATTTTTTTCTTTTTTTTTTTAAAGATTTATTTATTTATTCATACAGAACTGGGGTACAGGCCAGAGATGCGGAGTGTGAGAGGCTTCACCAGAGACAGAGTGGGGAGCAGAACAGGCAGATCTACGAAGTACACTGCTGAGGGGAGCAGCAGGCGGGTCAGGAGAGG